GACAAATGGACAAAGGTGACTTGTCAAAATATTTAGCATTAAGTAATTTGAATTTTAGTAGAACAATTACAATGCTTAACAATTAAATCTCGGTACACGCTTTTTCGCTTCTCATGATAGGCGGATAAGTGTTTGTATTATTGAATAAAATAATGGTCGGTCATGTATAATTGCGCTTGGGTAAGCGGCGCGTGAATTTGACCCATTTGCAGACAAGGTCGACTTGCCAAACTGCTGCCAGCATTATATGCGTATAGTGCAATCCTATCTTCTGCCATATCATATATCTTTTGTATAATTCATCTTCGACGATAGTATAAAATTACCAATGAAAGCCAAATCAAAATTATTAATTTTAATTTAACTGATGACATAGATGTTTTTCTCAGAAGGCAAATGAAACTCCATATCTGCTAGAAGTTAAATATGAGGACAATGTATGAGGAGAATGTAATGTATTGTTTACCGTGAAAGAATAATAAAAAGGTTTTTAAATGATCTACAAGAGATGACTACCCCAACCAACATTCAGCCATTGTCAAGATCTATGGATTGTAGGGTAACAAATCGATACACACGCTACCACGACAAAAGATGTTGACGTCAAAAATTATCCAAAGATCTTGCGATCAAATAAAAAAAGTTAATTGTGTGGTAAAGTGTGACATAATTGTCTTGATGCATTTATTGTTGTACTGACCTCCATCGCATGCCGCATATTGTAATAGGTCATTGGCAGGATGTCAACGGAGATCCTGTACAGAATGAATCACACGGATTTAGCTTGAGTATACGTTCACGATTACCTGTGTACACATTATGGCTGGTATTGACAAAGGTTTTACACTTATGGGAAAACCTACACGGATGTTCATAATTCAATAATCTCACATAAAATTTGATCGATGGTTGCGTTTGTACTAACATCTAAACGTGTTCAATTTCGCCATAAAAAAAGTCGTAGGTACACTTTATTCGATTTCTCTCGATGCTTTTTTTTAAATGATATGCTTCGTTTACACTTTATTATGATGACTACGTAGATATGCAACATATCTACATAAAGCTTCGCACCTTCTAACCCGATGAGCTATATGGCAACGAGGCATGTTTATCGAGAGCAAATCAAAACTGTTTGATAGGAATTACCACATTATTTCTAAGCCGAAAATTTATAAACAAAAATACAATATTTTAGCCCCTTATAACAAAGTTATTCTACTTCGCAAAATCCTCACCTAATGTATATTATTGTATATGTATTTTACATATTTATACGTGCATATTCTTTAAAGGGCCCAACGTTGGCTCGTGGCTCAACCTGATCAGTGAGGTTGCACAACTATTGTCTTCGCTTACTTATTCATGATTTGTCACGTATCTTTGTTATTTTTTGCAAGAACGAAGTATAGTACAAATTGGATTCTTTTTATTGAAATTGGTTTACAAAAAAAATTGGAATTAGTCCAATTTGTTTTTTAAAACCTTCGGAAATGACGTCATGTATTCTTATCGGCATTACACTATCCGAAGCTAATTTCTCAATATTGTTTTTTATCTAGGAAGAGATCCTGTCGAAAATAAATAGTTTCTTACCTCAACTTTTGAGAACTTTATTATTTTAGAAAATAAAAATTATTCTAGTATTTTTTTTTGATTGATTGGGCACTGATATAATCTTTTCATGTTTAAAGTGGTGACCCAATTGTAACGAATTATTAAATTATATTGGCCTTTAGTACCAAACCTTATCTTAATCCGATAAAACAGCTGATCTATGAATGCCGGCTACAAATAGACCGGTCTATACTTAACTGTTATTCTAACGTAACTGTTTAGCCGATTACTGTAGATGTGTAAAGCAGGTTAGATAAAGAAAGAAGATGATTTAACTATTGTTTAAAGCTTCTTAATTTGAATGTGCATTGTTTACTTTAAGTTGTAAATATGATATTTTACTTTATGCCTAATATGTATACAGAGCAGTGACTGGTGAAGTGGATTCGATGTCCAGTAGCCGTTGGTCACGTCCTTGCATTCACCACAAACGTTGCGCCCACCTTATCATCTAATGTCATCTTACACAGAATTGACAATGGATAGTAGAAAGGTAACTAAACTCACCTCTAATTAGTAACACACATCACTAAATAAATTAAACTGAACTCTTTATTTCTGTCAAAACACCGCATGCATAGTCTTAGTCAACGTGATTAAACACAAATAGTTCACACGAGAAATGTTTACAAAGCGAAAGCGTTGGTACGGACGCGGAAGTGGGTAGGTGGTAGATTATCGCGCCGGCATCGAAGGCGGTCGACTCGCGCGCGGTTAAGTGTGTAACTCACGGCGACGTTCGTTTCACCGGCAGAGGTGTCGCGAGGTGAAAGTCTCGGCCGTGGTTCGCCCCGCCACCGTGGGGGGGAAATGACGACGTCACTAAACCAACAGCCTGCAAACATCACCATCTATTGCTACACCGGTCAACGCAAGATGTCCTCCGTTGCGTTAGGATGAGCAGCTAATGAGATAATACAAGTACATCGGCTTACGTTGAAAACACTTACGTTGAAAAACTTTTAATATATATTTTCTTAATTTTATGATTTCATTCATGAATAAAACACTCATCCAATAAAAATATAACCTGTATAAGATCTAAAATTACTTTCTCTTTTACGCAAAAAAAAATATAATGACACTAAGACAATAAGCTACGACAATGGGGTAATACTATCTAAGTTAGATTGTATTTAAGTACTTTTTTTAAAGGTCTACTAGCAAACCAAAATTATTAGTATTCCCGTTAACCCCTCTCGCTAAGCTAAATTGCTTGTGTTAGGAGTGGGTTCACGTCGGTAGTGTACTGATCAGGATTTGAACCCACGACCTCTTAATCACAAGTCCAACGCCTTTACTATTTAAGTCATATAAGAAGTTATATATTAGATGAAACTAGGACGAGGCGGATCTCGGTGAGGCGATAATACGTACATACACACTAACAATAGATACTATAAAAACTAAAGTACATACTTTTGTAACATAATTAACAACTATCACCCGTTACATTTGACATTAAGACTTTTCGTCATCATAATCCTAACCAGCAGTTTTAATACAAATGATTATATTGTGTTTTTCTTCGTGTGAACCCTGTTACAGTTGTAAATGAATACGTATGAGTCTTCATATGCTGCTAAGCTCATATCGTATAATTAAACCAATTAACCGATGTTCCCACGACTCACCCACCCCAAGAGACGCAAACATACGCAAAACACATTGAATGAGTTCACTAATGTAGACGAATGAACTGCATTGGGGTTTTAAAAAATATTTTCTTGTAAGAATATCTAGTATTTTAAAACCTAAAATTATTACTTAAATAAAATAAAATTATTAATACTAGTCTGCCATTAGCCGCCTCAGGTACTTTTGGTACCCCATGATAGTGGAGTGCTTCCCTGATGCAGCTGAATGGCAGATGATTGATCTGTCTTTTTTATTTTTTAAGATGACTTTGCCAAGCTCACGTATTTATTTAAAATATCACATCACATCACATCACATCAACCCCCTTTAATAGGCCTCTCCTTAGAAAGGAGGTTTAAAATATATTTTAGAATAATTAGGTTCGGACATTTCACAGTTATTGATTTTTTTTATTTGTGCCTCAAACGCATGTTAACATTAGATAACCTATATATATATGAATATTAAATCATAAATATTACATACAGACATAGCTATATCTGGTTACTTTAAATCTAACAATAAGCAGTCCTCTATAAGCCTAAAACTGTCTTAAGAAGAGCATTACATATCTATAATTTATAAATCAAATACAGTGAGACATTGATCTAAACATGTGTATTAATGAAACAAAACCGGGCTTAGTTTAATATAACAAATTTCAAAAAAAAAGTTCAAACAGTCATCGCCGCTATTAAAAATATTTATTGCGGTAGTTAGCTTAAAGCAACAAAGACAAAGCTTGGGGAACGATCCGAGTTTTACATTCTTGATGACAAGTCACCCATTCGCCACACCAGGCACGGACTTGTCAACAGACGTACACACAAAAATACGAGTTTAACATTGATGTTAGAGACACCAACGTTAATAATAATATTAACTTCGCCCATCTCACTGATCCCAAACTAAGCAGAGCCTGTGTTATGGTAACCAGACTGCTGATAAACATATTATATATTTCTAAATACAAACACACTATGGATAAATTATAAGGGTGTATGAATAATATTTATAATATATTATTGCTTATAATGATGACTATATGAATTTTACTTGCACAAAATTGGTTTTCTCTGAATATATTCCGGTAAGACAAATTTTATGCTAATAAAATGTCAAAAAAACTTATTAAATTACTCGGAAGTCATCCGTTTATCAGCATCAGTCTCTGCATCAGTGAAAGGTGGCATGAAAACAAACAGTACCATTATACTTAGTATGGAATATGTAAGGACATCATCATCATCATCATCAACAGCCTTTAATAGTCCACTGCTGGACATAAGTCTCTCCTTAGAAAGGAGACAAGGACATATATTTAAGTATACATGAACTATGGTTGTATGTAAATAAACTAGGCTTGAGAGTAGCTTTAGTTGTAGTAGTTACATATCTTAAACGGGCAAAATAAATATTTATAGTCATATTGGCTAATCAATTTTCATAGGACATTTTATTTTTATTTTCGTAAGGTAACTTTCTCAAATCTACACAAAATCCGTCCCTGTGAGATCAGCAGCCATCTGTTTATACAATTATCGGTTAAGACGGAGCAGTGGCGCGCGCTGTTCTTCCTAAATGACTCCTTCATAAACGATATCCATCGGAATACTTATTAGTGGGCTCATACGACTGAGGATTAGTACGCATCCTGTATCCGAACAGGCATCAATACTAAAACCGGAACATTGAAAAGAAAGTACTAAATATTGTCTATGATTTTTGAACAGTTGTGTGTAGATATGGACAATTTTCTAAATTATCAGTGTACGGAAGAATCTTGGCAACAAAATAATATACTCTCTGTAACTTCTTATCGGCATGAAGCTCAGCCAACAGCGAAACAGCGGTGTCAAGCCAACGCACGTGAGAGGGACCGAACACAAAAGTTAGTACCGATGTTGAATGTTATTATAATACGAAGTGGTAGACAGCAGTCAGCTGTCTTAGTACATATTATTAGAGGTAGCCAAGACTGACCTAACTGCATATAACCGTCTATATATCTCTATACATATCAGTCTAAATTTCGTATGTATTTATAAACTTTAATGTATATACAGATATGATATGTGTTTATGTATTTTTTTCTCTTATTGTACGTTTAGTTATTTATTAATAAAAAGAAATTTACTGCTTAATAGTTAAACGAGCTGGTAGATTAGCAGATTATTATTGTTTACTTATTTAAATAGGTCTACATTGATATTAACTTATACTACGAAGAAAACTTGCAGTTGCGGGTAAGTTTTTTACAATGAGTCGTTTAACCTTCCTCGTATTTTTTGTTACCCAACGGCTATTGCAAATTTTGCTTCAAACTTCCGCGTTCGGGGTCTTTACTTCCTATATCTCTGATTAATTTTTTATCAAGAGGATGTTCTAGAGGTTTTATATAATTTCTAAAAAAACATTGTACTAATGTGATTTTTAACAAGTGTTTGGCTTTAATGAGTCATTGGTGTTCCTACACCTAAATGCTTAATACATTCTATAGTAATATGTGTTTTGGGTCTAAGTGCTAACACATGATGTTACGATGTGTTCTTACATCGACTAAACTAAAAATCCAAGTAAACAAAAACTTTATTTAGATTTTTAGTTGAAGCGCAAATCCTTAATAGGAGGTTAAGATTTGCGCTTCAATTTAAAATTATTTTTTATATCATTTACGTAAGTTTCTTATGAAAGTTTTATAAGAATTACAAGGGTAAACTTAAATATAGGTATGTTTTGTTTGTTTCCTTTTTTTTGTGATGATGATGACATCATCATCAGTATCAGTATCAACATTGCTGGGCATAAATTTAATAAGTCATCTTGTAGTGAAATATTAAATAAATCTATCGTTTGACCTTTGAATTATTGATGTGTCGACTCCCACATACCATGAAACACACTTTGTTTTTTAATGAAAGATCACACCTGATGAAAAGTGACCATCGCCGCCATAAACGCACAGACCTGTGTCTTTATTGGGTTAAACTGGACTCTAGTCCAGTTTTCAGATTGGGGCCGACTAAATCCATTTAGTCGGCCCCAATCTGAAACCTCCTCCTCCTAAGGAAGTTTCAATTTCAGACACAAATTTATATCGACTCTCGATGACGTTTTCCCGAGAAATATTGGGGAGGCCGGTATTAAGGCCGCTATCTTCCTTGCTATCATCTGCATAGCAATGGATGCTACTAGTTTGCAACATGTCATTGATATGCAGAAGAAACAGTGTGGGTGATAGCACACAGCCTTATGGGACACTAGCATTTACGAATTTCAAGTCAGAGCATGCACCGACGACAACGACCTTAATGCTTCAATGCACAATTTCTCGGGAAGGCCAAATCCCTTGCTTCGAGAGAAGCGCCTTATGCCAGACCCGATCGAAGGTCTTCGCTATGTCCAAACGAAACGCACAAGCCTCTCCTTTGGTCTCGATCGTCTGTGCCCACCGGTGTGTTAGAAAGACGACAAGATTACTAGCTGAGCGACCCCGGCGAAAACCATATTGTCCATATTGTCGGTCTCTTTCTGTAAAGCTGTAATGCTCTAGAAAGAGACCGCTGAACGGGATCGGGAGTGAGCCGATCCCGAGGCGATATAAACCGTCGACGAGGTCGCAGGCTGCCAGAGAGTGGGGATCTCTGGTGGCAGATTAACTGTTGCGGTAGGCGATAGGATGGTGGCCTCGATCGAGCTGTATCATATAATGATTGGGCCGATAGGCGGTTGGAAGCCCGCGGCTTCCCCCGGGGTAGGGTCTTACTATGCGAGGCGACGATCCGGAAGGGACCTAAAATAACATTGTCCTGCTTGAGACCGGCCGTCAGGTTTGCTTTTAGTGAAACTGGCTCTTGCCTCCCCGTGCTGATGGCTTCCCACCCCGTCATCAAAAAAAAAGATTTCCCTGTTACCAACCTAACACAACAGCTTCACCGATAGAATTGTTATCAAAATACTGTTTGTATTTCCAAGCAGCGTGAACACGGCCTTTAACACGCTGCGTTTGCTGATCCCCACGGAGCCACCCGACAGGAAGCTTAGCAAGATCGAAATACTTCGACTCGCCGGCAGCTACATCACGCACCTCGATAATCAACTCTACACAGGTATCATAAAACGCCTTTTATAATAACAGTTGTAGATCCGGCATTCAAGTACTTCGAATTTTTAAGTACGACTAGATAGGCCGAGGCTAACTTTATTGTACACTGATGCAACAAGAGAAATTAGTTTAACATTAAACACCAAACTCAAATGACCTTAGCATTGTAATATTTAATTCACTACCATCTTTGATTCTCAATGTAGTCGTTGATATCGTAGTAAATATCTATCGATTTCAGTTAAGATATATTTTTTTAACTTATAAATTTAAGTAGAATTTTAGTATAATCGTGCATTATCCTAAAATTCACAATGGACACGCACAATGGAAACTAGATTTAGAGTAAAGCGAATGGCGATATATAATGTATCTATTTAAACCAAAATATTTTATTTATGTTCTAGGAGAAATGGAAAAACCGTGCCTTTTGAAAACTGACGTAGGCGACAATGACAAATCACTATGCACTTTTTGCTGTACCGTTGTTAAAAAAGATGTAAGTTATTTAATAAGCACTAAGATAACTGATTTGTAGGCACTCAGCTTAAGATATGCTTATGATATTCTTTAAGGCCGCTATGTCCTGGCCTAGTTAATATATTAGGTCAACGTATAGTGTGTTGGTAGTTGGTGACAACACTGGCCGGCCAACCCAATAGTGTGGGTTTTCTGTGCACACATCAAAGGATCTTGGTGCGCTTCGCAAACCGTATTCACACGTTGGTACACATTTCGATAATAATTAAACGTACCTACTGTATTAATCTTTATCAAAGAGCCAATGCGGAATAATGAATACGCGAATGTGATAAAATCCGATATTTTGGTCCACCCAGTACATTAGCCCTATGTGTAAAGCGGCCTTTAGGGCTAAAAACTCTTTGAATTTTTTTTTTCATGATAATAATGATTATAATATTTTCGGTCATCTGACACACAACGTCATCTAGTTCCAAACTAAGCAGAGTTGGTACTATGAAAGGTAGATTGACTAATAGAATACTAATTTACTTTTTTTTTTGTAAATGCATACATGTTATAAATGAAGAACACCCAAACAATATTTAATAGGAAATTTGTAGGTCAACGATTTTTATGATTTAATTATTTATTTGAAGACTTAACAACTATGTTACATATTTCAAGGGTGAAGTTAAATTTTGCAATTGGCTCTTAGGCAAGAATAAAGTTTCCCGACAAGTAAAATTGCGTGCAAAAATTATCATGGCCATTTGCATTATAACCCTTTATTTAGCAATTTAATATTACATTTTTTTAAACCCGTATCAATCTGTTTCAGAAATCGTCACCACCACACAACGGTTACTATAGGAAGTCTCGCTAAAGCCTGCGATTTCAATCCTTGCGACGATTTCATTTACTTTATAAAATTGTACAATTATTTATTACATTCGATGGTTACTATTTACGTGCCATATTTACTTATAGCTCGCAAAGTTGAAACATTAAAGTAAAGCTCACGTTATAAGTATTATGCCGCGGCCGTAGTATTTCGTTACAGTTACGAAATCAATTTTAGTAGTACCTTTGTATAAGGTCCCATAATGAAAAAGAAAAAGGTTCTACTTCCTCAGCCAAGTTCATTCAGTAAACTTTTAAAGCCAACTATACCAAAATATATCTACTTATGTAAGTATAAAGTACCTACATTGCTGTAGGGTGAAAACAACATTTTGGCAAACTAAATTTCAGGTATTTTTTTAGGATTATACAAACAATTTAATGTTTTTTACTATTGGTGATAAAAGTATCCTAATTGAGAATTAAAGTGGTCAATTAATTGTTTTTATGTAGCATTAATTGTGTGTCATAGCATTTATTATATTGGCAATAAGGTTGACGATTATGAAAGTATATTATTATAAACCTATGACGTAATCGCGTTAATTCTAGTACCTACCCAAACATTCGTACTATTAGAATTAAAGTGACGTAGACGTAAGTTCTTTACAGGGCAAATTCAGAAGATTTAAAAGTTTTGAGTTACCATTTTTGCCCTAAGAATGCAATATGTATGTACAGGAATTGATGCGATCACGTAATAGTTGATACATAGCATTGAATTGCCTGACGTTACGATTGCTTTAATGTCATATGATTAAATATCGTGCAACACCAAATTTTAAGGGTCGGTCCATCATAATGCTAGTCATTAAAATGTTTGTCATTATATTTCTTTTTTTCTCTAACAAGGCAATCATGACTTATTTAAGAGGGTGATAAGGTCCATCTCAGAATAAAAAAGCTATGAAAATGGCACAATTTTATTCAACCTATGTACTATTAAGTAGGTATAGACAAGCTAATCTAAATTAGGTAATGAGTCACATAAGCGTGTGTAAAGACCATGTTCACAAAAATCAGATTTGCCATATTTGCAGTTGAATGTATTCCGTAATTTCAGATTAGCTTGTCTATTCAATATGTAGTTTTCATTATAACAGAAATAATCACAACCAGCATTATTTAGGTGGTGAAAATTTAATAAAAAGAATGTAAAATACTAGGTGATAGGCACATTGGCAGTGATACTGGGCGATTCTTTATAAAATATGTATATTTATGCCTCTATTTGCAAATAGAAAATTTAGTAAAAAATCTAATGACATGGAACTATTATATTTACAACACTTACACTAATTCTTATTTAATAACAAATTCATATCATAATCTATTAGATACTTAATAATTTATGTGTTTCATAGTGCAATATGAAGTTACGATTGGAAAACCAAAACAATAAAATATTTAAGTACTCATCAGTGTTTTTATTAATTAAAACGTGTTTGGGGCAAGTAATGCCTGATTTTGTAAAACCTCCTACCATTCAATATTATACTAGAAAAAACACAATAAAATGCGTGATTCAATACTCGCACATCAAAAGAAATGAACATTTAATGCCATATTGATAAATCTATGTTTTCAAGTTGTGACTAATTTTCATTTAAGTATTTATTTTACAGATAGTACCTAAACAATTTTTAATAGCTACACTATAACATTTTTACAATTTGTGACTAGACAAATATCTAGTCAAATTAAGTAGACATTTAAATTATTCATAAATTATTCATATGCTCGTATATACAGAAAAAAAAAACAAGGCAAACCTGGCAAAAAAAATGTATTTTATGACTATAATATCACTGTGCGTCGAACAAGGTAGATAACATTGAAAGAAAAGATAAATTATAAAAAGTTTCAACAAAATTCGGGTAGTCTATAAGACACTTTAATCCAGTGTTCTTCAAATTTAAAAAGGAAATTGTTATCTAAATAGTTCGAAGATTTTTTACCAGCTCCGAGTAGAGCAATTAATTAAAATATACCAACTTGAAACAATAAGTCACATATATTTTCTAAATTATTAATAATAAAACAAGTTTACATACGAGCAACGAGGAAGGCAACCAGGTTTAAATAAATAAATAATATATCACGGCTGACGAGCGGCTGTTGAGGGTACAGGGCAAGGAGGATGAATTTTTCAACAGTTCGTTCTATTAAAATATTTAGTTGACCATTAGCGATAGATCAAAAGTGAGTTAACGGTAGTACTATTTCTACTATAGTAATTAGTATTTGTCACATATGTGTCACAAATATTAATTAGACATAGGCTAGTACATAAAATGAAACAAATTGAAGTCGTGTTACCGGTAGAAGGGACTGCCGGCAAATTGAAGTCGTTTAAACGCGGATAGAACATTTGATCTGATGCGCATGAGTGTCAAATGTCACCGTAACGGTAAAAAAAAGGGTCACCTCTGCGTTTGATGAAAGTGATTTTCATTACTTTCATCACACGCATCACAGATCTTATTTGAACTGAGCCTGAGCTTTATCTTAGTAACATTTATGTTTTGCTTAAGAGACGTGTGTTAGTATTTAGAAACTATCGCTATCCACATTTATCGTTTTCAGCCATATAAATAAAAAACTTGTATTATGTTTACATTACGACCTAAAAATGCATTATAATAAAAAAATGTCCGAGCTCAACAAGATATAGAACCATAACTTTAGAAAATTACTACACAAATTTTCATTTAAGAAGACATCACAGTTAGAGATATTACATACTAAATACTTGTGCACTATAAGGATCAACAAAAAAGTCCGCCGCAGACATTTGTCCGCTGTTGACATTTTTTTCTAAGTCATGTCTTCGTGATCTTTTACCGCCACGTCAACTACGCCTTAATTAGTGACAAACACATTCAGGACCTTTCTCTTACGTATAAAAGTACACCAAATCAAAACTGAGTAGTTTTGTCCCAATTTGCATAAGGCTTAATCAATTCCATAGTCTTTTTAAACTTTAGTGGCGTATAGGCAATCTAAAAATCCTCCCACAATGAAAAAGTTTTTAAAGGCTATCGAACACTATTTCTGTCTCTACCTATAAAGGGGCTGGATTCGTGATTATTTTTCTCTAAGTTCCCGGAAAGCGTAGGATCTGGCCGGCTTCGCTTGAAGAAGCCCAGCTTCCATAAGGCAATGATGAGTAGTATTAACACTATAAGCCCCACTATCACTGATATTATGATAACCCATAGAGGTACTTCTGTTGGCTCGCTTATCTTCAAGTCTGGATATGCAACCGACTTCGCCTGTACATATAAATAAGTATATTAGAACAAAAAAAAAACACATTGCAAAGTGAGGAATTGAATATTTATTACATTAACTAGCAACACCTTGTTGCGTCGAAAATCTGTGCCTAAATCGATGATTCAGGTAGGACTATTATTTCTTGGCCAAAACTATCTGTACGAAAAAGTTCCATGAGCGTTTATAATGGGACTCACGATAATAATTTCTCAATTATTATCGTCAGTCCCAGTTAACGCGATGGTTTTGGTTGTAACCAGACAGACAATCTGTGAGAACAGTCAGTGTTCAGAAGTTCAAAGCTACCTCCCAAATCATCCGTTAATGTAATCGTATTCAGAGGGTCTAGTGTGAGTTCACTTCATATATACTCGATCGTCACTGTCACCGCGTTCGGCGTTGCGATTGACCCGCACACACACACGCATACACTCTTTTTTTTATAAAAAAGACAACTCCCGCACTAGGAATATATTCTTGTGTCGCGGGGGACTTTACAAATATTTATGAAACGGACACAAAGAATACCCAGACTGAGAACAACAATTTATTAACAGACAAGGTATGGTCCCATATGGGGATCGAACCCACAACACTCCGCGCAATTAGAAGCGGCGAGGTGACCGCTTAAACCACTACGCCATCCGTGCAGTCAAAATAAATGAAGCTAATGACTAACCATAGCTTTATCACCATATTGCTTGTTCTGGTGTATGTTTAAATGCGCAGGAAAACTGATGTATGCACTTGATGCAATGATAACTCGTGCAGCCCTTGAAAACTCTTCGACGAGAGTTCCGTTCCATAACCTGGCCCGAATGCTAATGGTACTTGTCTTCATACGACCCAACTTGTATATAACGCATTGGAACTGTATACATTTAGCTGTCTTCTGCTGGCAGTTCTGTAAAATCATAATTTCAGTAAGATAATGCTACTTCAATTGTTGATGTTTTGTCAGAAGAAATTCAAGAGTATTTTATTAACCAATGTTAATGAGTAAGGAAACTGTTGTGTGCTGTGTGTTAGCGACTTATATTTCTTATGAAAGTCACTAACGATTAAATAAAAACGCCACCTATTTACTCTCATTCATGTGACATAGAGCTATATTTTAGCGTATAGTAATATTTATTTAAAAGCTAGGCCCTATTGTATTACCTATTGTATAAATATTTGTCAATATTATTTATATCTACTACTCGATAGTAAGGATATGTTGAGATTTTAAAGTTAGGTGATTGTTTAACACCGGGCACGCCGTTATTGCAGCGGTAAGACCTGTTATGGAGGATTGGCTCGAGAGGCGTCACGGAACCCTCTCATACCGGCTGACGCAGGTGATCACCGGGAAAGGTTGTTTCGGAGATCACCTGTTTATGATCCGTAAGGAGCCAACGCCTGAGTGCCACGTGGCCGGACCGTGGACGCGGCCCTCCACACGTTGGCAGAATGCCCGGCGTGGGTGGAGCAGAGGGGTGACCTCGTGGGGGCCATCGGAGTCCTCTCGCTCGGTAGTAAGATTGCCACCATGGTACGGAGCGAGAGTGCATGGAACTCCGTCGTCTCCTTCTGCGAGCAAGTTATGCTTGCGAAGAGGATGGCAGAGCGGCACACAGGACCGGGATCATGGGCCCGCCGTAGATGCCCCGAGGTACGTCGGGGTACCAGGGATTTCCTTGCAAGAGTACACCTGGTTCCCCGGCTACTGGTTCGAATCTCACAGAGCCACCGGTAGGTGGTATCCGAGGGAAAACAGAAGGTGACAGAAAAGTGATGGTCTAACAGCATTTTTCCTTTAGGTCAAAGCGAGGTATCAACGCTCTGGCCATCATAGTGGTGGAAACCAGACGTTGGCTCTTTGATCAGAAACAGGTGATGTCACCTATAACCTATCAATAGATGTTGCTATTATGATTATGACACAAAAAAAGATAATTAAGACATGCAAGTTATGAAAATGGTTCGTTTCCGTTTCGATTTCTGTATTTGCCGCCTCCTTACAAATGCCGCCCTAGTGCGGTGCACGCTCCGCACACCCGTACCCGGCGGCCCTGATCATCATCATATATTAAAATAGAACTAAACAACATTTTTATTTTGTATTATGTCATGATAAAGAACTTACTAAATTGATCACATGTTTTCTATCAGTATATGCTTCAGCTTTTACTGCGTCCTCATCCCGTTTTCTTCTTACTTTATTACTAGTGCTGTACTCCATAAACTTCCTCCTTGTCTCATTGTGTGACTTTTCACTAGAGCTGACACTAAGCTTGCCAATTGAGAGGAAGGGGTCCATTTCTAAGTTTTCAAGATATGGTTCGGGGGAACCAGGACGTGCAGTTAAGTTTAGAGGGTTGGTGTCTCGGGCGAAACATTCGCCGTTTTGATCTGAAATTGAAAGACTGATTAATAGTTGAAAAAAAAAGTATATACATATATTAGAAGGAATAACAAATAAGACATAGTGGACGACCACTCATTTATATAGTAGGTAGTCCAAACAAACAGTAAACTCATCATCATTAACAGCCTGTAACCGTAAACTGCTGGACAGAGGCCTCTCCTTGGAAAGAAGGTTTTGGTCGACTATAACACGCTGTCCAGGCGTTTTGGTATAGGGTTTGTTTCAAGTTTTCCTTCTCTTTGGTGTGCTGTTGTCCTGCAGAGTACGCTCCTTAAGTCGGCTCTTGCGATACCCACGGGATAATTGGGGTGGCGACACTCCGTATCCGCAACCGCACGAACGGTGCCCTATCTCCTTTAAAATTATCCTGATTGTTTGTTACACACATATATTGAAATCACATAGTAGACTTTGGTGTAAATTAAGTGTTAATCAGCAAATATTACGTTAGCATGTCCAAGTAGGTATTTTAAAAAGAGATATGAGGTTAAGAAACAGTTCCTTGCCAGTGTGTTCATGATAATATATTATCAAATTATAACAATTCACTAACACAAGCAATATCTCATTCGTTCACATAAAAGAATGATACAAGTGTAAAAAAAATTATGAACATAAACCTCCTTATATTAAGATAATTTGATTACATGATGATATGAGCATGTGATGGGTAACATCAGACTAAACGGCATTTACAGAAGAAGTACTAATCTTTAAAAAAACGGACTTACCAGCCTCTCCATGAACAGTAGGTACATCTTCAGGATACAGTAGCCACTTCCCCTGTGACCCGTCTGATGCGAGCTGATGCGGCCATTGAATTACCACCTGCACTGTCGATACGTGCCATGTGCCGTCATTAAATACCTGGAATAGAATTTAAAACTTGTTCGAAGTTGTTGTTGTGGTACTTAAGGAATGTTATGTTTTTTTAAAGTGACACCACTATCTCTAATGGATCTCTTGTCTCGTGATTACCTGATATGTGTGGACAACTCTGGTACCAACTTCGTCGAAGTACCGCATAGCTGACTCTCCTTTTACTTCTCCTCCGTAGAAAACTTGTTCTGGACGGGCACCACTGTAAATGAGAAGGTGTCATCGTTTATCCTTTCAGTTTCATATTTAATTAGGCACTCAGTAATATACAGCTGTTACGTTTCTCAGGAATATACATATGTGTTGTTGTAATAAAAAAATCTTTATATTCTTTATTTTTTTACCCTTTTTGTTGTTTTTTTCTCTTTTACTTTAAATGATGTTAAAATAAATTAATTACAAAAAAAGTTTAGCACCAACCTAAAAATATGATAAAGATATATGTACCTACTTATACCTCCTAAAATCTAAAAATATAAATTATTACGAGAATACATTAGTGTGCGATAATTAAACGGTGTTGTGATAACGAAATGAGTCGACTTCTAATTTTTCTTTTTAACATTGTTACTTAATCGATATACTAAAGACATACCAAAAATAATTTTAGTCTATGTATTTTAGTATACCTAATATTACACAGGAGAAGAGAAGGCATCTCAAGTACTTAATAAACCATTTTTTACCCTTATATTACAAAAGGAGATGCCGGCGTTCATGGGCGGCAATAGTCTTCCATCAGGTGACACGTCTGCTCGTTTTCTCCCTCTATCATAGCAAAAGTAAGTTCTTACCCGTTAATGAGTAGCTTAGCATTCTTTATAACCAAGGCCTCAACTTCTACCGGCTTCTTTCCATAATGTAGTTCCTTCGACGTAGAATTAGCCCACACGGTGAACAATACTGACTGATCATTGCCTTCAAGAGCTCGCGCGTCAAATCGCATCGTGATAGGAGGTGAACCATCAGCTTGTTTTTTAAATGGATTCTCAAGCATACACGTGACAGTCGTCTTGTTTAAACTTGTACAAATCACGTGCTTGTCCTGTAAACCAATAATAGGAATATAATGTTGTACTATATGTAATGTTTCTGACTAAATTTTAATACAAAAATTTACAACGTGAATTCTCTTAAATTGAACACAATAAACCAGGGCAAAGATTTTTGGTGACGTGATTCCGAGTGGTGACGGATTAAGAATACGGGATGTCACCACCCCTATTCATACTGTGGGTATCGTAAGAGCTGACTAAGGGAACAAACTACGCAGGCAAACAACACTGAAAAGAGAAGGACGACTTGACACAAACCCTCTACCAATCCTTTCTAAGGAGAGGCCTGTGTCCAGCAGTGGACTATTAAAGGCTGTGGATGATGATGATGAAGATTTTGCCGATGCTTAGACTCCGAGAATTTTCATTATTTTATCATTTGTAACCAAACGAAAAAATAAGTAGTTTCACTCAAAATAGTACGGTCATTGTGTATAATGGGTCTTAGGACAGTTAATCAGGGTATCTTTAATTTTTAATTTAAAGTCTTTTTTAGCATGTTAAACTGATAACAACTTTTTCTAGGCTTAAAGTTCAAAGTATTTTTAATCTTTATGCTCTAATACCTGAAACAATTACCCTAAGAAATATGATTACCCTAAAAACACAAAATCAAGAACAATTTACATATCCTTCAAACATCAGCATCTTTTTAATTTGCGACGAATTTCATATTCATATTTAATAACAATTTACAACAAATAAAGTAGTTTAAAAGTTTTACATCATATTAAAATGCGTACATTACTTTGTAAAGCCCCCGCGACACAGGATATATTCCTAATGCAGGAGTTGTCTTTTAAAATAAAAAAATACTTTTCACAAAAAGAGATACCAAACTTTATATTAGTAACATACGTGAACGTATTAGTTTGAACTTCGTATGCCAAATGTATGTCTGTATGTTTAATTATCTACTTACACTAATATTAACAGCAATGTAGTGCAGATTCGGAGGATGGTTTACAAACAACTGTGCCTCGTAAGCGGATTCCCCATAGTTGTCCACCGATATCGACAACTTAATTTCTTCCTCCTGGCCCAGTGTGAGCGCGTAGGTTTTGTTATCTTTTGCTGTAAGAAGAAAAGGATATTTTTATAACTATTAACTAACTGAATTCTGCACTAAATGTATTCTCTAATATGTACCTATAACACAATACGACGATGAAGAAATGGACACCGTACCAGTCCCAGCTTTAAATAAGAAAAGTGATTTGATAATTCTAATAATTTTATAAGGAAAATATTTTTTAAACAAAATAAATACGTTTTTTTTTATTAAAACGAATTTCTCTTATAATAGTTTCGTATTAACTTGACTACGTAAAGTCTTATGGTTTTGATCTATTGTTATTCTATTTTAACAAAGAAAAAGTAAATAATAATAAATGGGTGTGCATTTCATTTTACCATAAGTGCATTATGCGCAAAGCGATCCCCGCTCTGCCGCCGAGCGCTCAAGATCCGTACCGGTAACTATACCTAATTGAAAGTAACAACACTACACCCGTATTTTGATTATAAAATATTATTACATTAATATTATACTACTATTTCCTAAAATAAAAATATCTTGAATTTCATTTTTTACTTCGAATTACTAAAACATACTCACTCAAAGGTAACAGCAGTTTAGGATCTACCACCAGATCACTGACACAGACTCCATCAGTCCCACAGTCATTTAAGAAGTTAGCACTAAACATAGTAGTGGCGGTCGCATTCAGTACTGGATACTGGTCTATGTCAGGAATCGTGCCCTGAGATGAGTACCGCGGTTCAGCATGGACCAGCAAATACGTCACTTGGAACTGTGGGCAAAGAGTATTAACTTAGAGATTATAAAGCCGTGAAAGTTGGGAATAAACTTAGGAAGTAAATTCGTTACTATAATCTATATTTGCACTAAATAATTTTTAGGCTAATAAAATTGTACCTAAGAGATAGTAAATAAAAAATAACCCTTACCGCTTCTTTGTAAATTAACTTTATAAGTATAAGGAATAATAAATAACTAACCAAACATGATATGTAACTTAGAAGTGTGTAAGTACTTCTTATATTTGTTAGATCATATGGTGGTGAAAATTCTACCACTCCACCTTTTAAAATACTACGAATTTAGGGTTATTTTAGTCCTAGTAGGTCAGTTATGTCCGTCAGTCTTCAAATACATTGGGGTACTTAAAATGGTCTGGCAATTGATATTGTCGATATTCTTTTATTCAGCGTTGACAAATGATTATTACCTTAATGGGTGTCTGTATATCTCTGGTATTATTCTTCAAATAAACAATATGCCCTCTGCAATCTTCGACATCTTTCCCAAGCATAATAGTCTTATTTACAATATTATTTTTATCTGAGTCAAAGAAAACTCTTGAATATTTCCTTCCACCGGGAAATGTTTCTGCTTCAATGACGTAATTAAGTTTGTGTATATTCGTTTGTGTTGTCTTAACTAATGATTCGATGATACAGCATGCTTGGAAGTAGAAGCAAGTGTAATTGGAGCTGGGGTCTTTATCGCACCCTTGTTTCGTTGGATCGATGTTTATTATTGTATTCGATGGTCGGATAGACGTCTTGATGTCTATGATCGGTCGTGTTCTTACTAAAGCGACGCTGCTCTGAAAATATTATTTAAACATTATTAAGTTATTGAAAAAGTAAAATGACATATTTTTCTATGAATATTAATTATAATAATATTAAACATAAAGACAATATATTATATTGTCTTTATGTTTGAGATTATTATAATTTGATTTAAGGTTTTACGGTAGTGCCAAAGGCTCTTCATATTCAACGTATCTCATCTTTTCATATACGTTGTAGTACATACCTATACAGGTATGTGTTTGACAAAAATAAACTTACATTTTCATAAGCGCCGACTAATAAATCTGGGTATCCATTGGCATCTAAGTCTATGCCACCAGACAAGGCATAGCCAAAAGTTTTCATTACTATCGGCAATGAATCGGCCGTTATCACTTGATCGGGCTTTGAGTTCAACCCTTTTTCCCTGTTTCCCATATAAATGTAAACCACTCCATTCCCTTCATAAGGGCTTCCTATAGCTATATCTTGGCATCCGTCTTTGTTCAAGTCACCAGCATTAGCAATGGCGATGCCAAACTGGGACTCTTGCTTGCCGGTCAGCTTGACATTGTGTTTCAGCGGTAGGCTTTGGTTTACGTTGAGATACAAGTAGACCGCACCACCCACGTCGCGGGCGAAGTAGAAAGGAGCTCCAACTAATAAGTCAGGTAAGCTGGAAATTTAAAAAAACTTACTTATTTAAAAATACTATGTTTCATAAATTCTAAACAGCCTTGCCTTACAATAAATTGTAAACACTCCATGACATCATAAATATGTAAATACAAAATATCAATAATATTGCTACAGACAAAGACTCGAAATATTGTGCGCAATCCCTTGTTCATTTTTTTCAGTGCAAAGTAAGTTTCATTAATATCTATGCAAATTATCTGTGATATATATTTTGAGATCTCGATTTTTTTCTTAAATTGTTCGACAAATTGTAAAAAGCTCCTTACAAAATTAAATCCTATTGTAATAATAGCGATTAAGTCAAGATCTTTTTTTTTGGAAATACAATTTGATGTTGACGGGTATCGATTACATGGACATATTAAAAGATGTATTTCTACATATTAAAATTGTTTTGTAAAATGTGTAAATGTGTTAAATTGTAAAAAGAAGGGCTGGACCCATTTTGCATTGTGGACGCAATGGGGTGGATGGATAGCTCAACAAGATTTACATTTAATTAAACTCCCGCCAAGAAGGCCTGACCTAAACCCCATTGAAAATGTATGGGGTTTAATGGTTCATAATTGGGACTCATCTTGGGTAAGATCAGTAACCAATATAATGGTCCATGTACATGAGATTTGGGCAGGTTTTAAAAGTAGCGCCGCCTGTTCAAACACGATTGCAAGATGTGATGGATATACCAAATTCTAAAACTGGCAGCACTATTGCTAAAACCTTACCTGGAAGTTCCCTACCTTATTTTAAATGTTAGGTTTTTTTAGAAGAACAAAATAAGAATATTAGAATACTTCATAAATTATAAAATAAACATTTCCTTCAGTAATTGTTATTCTAATTAAAAAAACAGACCCTTAGATTACCTAATTAATCAAATAATACAGATTAGCATCTGTATTATTTGATTAATTGTACGTAGTCATAGTGATACAGTCCTATTACTTCCACGTTTAATCTCAAGTCTTATTACTTCCACACCGGCAAGCAAAAATAAATCCAATAGTAAAAGCCATATGGATGAATATTAACAAATGTGTAGATATTTATGAATCCTATGTTGTACTAAATATATTGAAATCTAGAGCATTTAGATATTTTTGTGCAGAAGAGTCATATATTATTGACCTACCGTAACATATTTATGAACAATTTATATGATAACATTTTTAAGCTTACAATATTTTGTAACATTGGTTTTGGTTTTAATATTATTTTGAAACATTGGTTGAATATATTATTGAACTCGTCTGTACCTATACACCTTACATCCTCTATTTTCATTTTATTACTTCATAATGTGTGTGTGTGTGTGTGTGTGTTAACATTTGTGAAGCGCGTTCACACTCAGAATACTATTAACATAGTAAATAAGCTGGCAAAATATTTTTATATTTTTATTCTGGTGACCAGTACAAAAATAAAAAGATTACAAAATCATATTTTTCTACAAAAAATTATAAATACTTTGTATGACATTGCGTATTTATGCATAAGTATTTGTACGTTCATGCGTATATAAGAGTATGTATGTGCGTTTAAAAAACTAATTCTTACCCATCTCCATTGACATCGGCACTCGCTACTTCATATCCGAAGTTTGAACCAAACTGTTCACCCTTCAGGAGAAGCGACAAATTGAGGATATTCAGATCTGTTCTGCCCCAATCTTCTGTTGCAAGCTTACTAAATATCACTACTTGGCCAGTACCATGAGACCGTGGTGCACCAGCTACATAGGATGCCTTATTGCCGAAGAAGTTACCACTGGTGACTGACATACCTAAAATGGAGACAATAATTGGAATTGAATATAGGATAGCTAGCAGTGACAGGGATCGGAATCATTTTTGATGACACAAATAAATAAATCAGTATAAACATATAGTCAATGCGTATGGTATGAAAACAATTTATAACTTAGGTGTATACAAAAGGGTTAACCCTCTTATTTTTTTATTCACTGAAGTTTATAAATGTTCGAAAGGTCTACACAGAGATATCTTTACTAGAAGTATTTGTATTAATCGCCCAGAGTACGATATAAAACCAATGAATTTAATATACCTACCAATTTAGAGCAGGGAGTTTCTTCTTATTAGTAATAATAATTTTGTACAGTTTGTACTTAATAATATTATGCTTTCTACACAAACCCTAAGGATAGCTTGTTCTATAGGTTCTAAAATACCTTTGAACATTATGGTAAATCCAGATAAAATTTTATTTACCTAAATAACTGTACTTCTCAACGGGACTGACACCATCTTGAACGGGTGCCATATAAACTACGTTATCCCTCTCTAAAACATCATCACTGGTGTCTTGGGCGAAAATAGTCCCTCTCCAAGTGTATGGTCCTGGACTACCCATGATCAAAGTGTCATCATCCAAAAGCGAACTGCTGGTTCCAACCTGACACAATCCATATTCTTCATGTTCCCTGGAATAGAAAACAAAGAAATTATTAATTTCTATCCGGTACCTATTGCAAAAAAAACGAACATCGGTAAGAATTCTTGAAACTAATGGCAAAAGGTTTGTCTTTTTTTCACATTCTGAAGGAACAGGTGTCATATCCCTCCAACACAAAGCGAGGATCCTCCGACCAGGCGAGTAATCATTCTATGTGGAAGATGCCACAAACATTTTAAAAGTAATCGCCCATTTAAAGCTAAGTTTGAATTCGATATTAAAGTTATCAATTTTCAGTTTCTTCTCTTCACTATGCTAATGAGACTGCTGATACTAAATTCTATGGATGTGGTCAGTTAGAAGAACCCTATAGATTTGATGAGGTATTTTGTCTGATAATAATTACATCACCACATTTTTTTACCTTAAGAGATTTATAACAGACCTTCGTATCTTCGTAGTGCTTTATTAGTGAAAATCGCAGTGCATTAAAACTCAAACCAGATGGATAAAACTGATGGACAATACATTATATGAATTCTGTAAAACAGCATCTTTTCTCTATATATTTGTCATTGAACTGTTTTTTACCAGTTAGTCAAAAAAAAACCTCACTTTTGAACCTGTCCTAACTTGCCCTCACCTTAATGAAATAATCAGGAGGGGGTCATCTACACGCCGTATGGCTCTAAGTAGGCCTACTCGGGCCGGACCGCCTCCTCTCGCTCGGTAGTATGATTGCCACCATGGTACGAGCGAGAGTGCGTGGAACTCCGCCGTCTCCTTCTGCGACCACCTTATGCTTGCGAAGGAGATGGCGTAGCGGGACCGGGAGAGCTTTAGAATTACCGCGAGGTACCGCAGACGACTCGGGCGCCGGCGGTCAAAGAAGGAGCTCCGTCCTCCATAAGCGCAGGACTAGGGGTGACAGGTGAGGCCATCTGTCACCCTAGAAGCAAGCCGGGGTAGCGACGAGACGCGTTGCGGAGCGCGCGTGCCCTTTTGGGAGCACCAAGGGAACATGGGGGTTCCCACACAGGAGGGGGTTAACTACCCGCCGTAGATTTAACGAGGTACGTCTAGGGTCTAGGGTATACCTGGTTCCCCGGCAACTGGCAGCCGAGACGGCGTGCGGTTTTTGGTCGGTTCGAATCTATCCTCCATAATAAAAAGAAACACCTCAAAGGGCCGGTTAGGAGGACAAACGATCGGACGAGTCACCCCTAGCAACTATTAGTGCCCCCCTCAGAATCAAGAGCCTCCTAAGTTACTCGATGCAACAAATGCACAGAACTACTCAACACCCGTTTTCTGTGTGGTATCACTCAAGTTATGCATGCTATCCCACGGTGAATTTATGGTGCCAATTTAACAGCTACAATATCATTTTATGTTACACACAACAGTATAATTTAGTTTACCTTAAAACAGAGCGTCCTCTGCAAGGCTCCATGACATCAACAAGTTGAAGTTCATTGCTGAGTGTGTAGCACAGTCCCTGACCAAACTGTAACTCCCCTTGCATCCGGATGTATCTGAAATATTGTTACTTACAATGTCAATGATGAACCGGATCATACGAGTATAGCCTTGCAATTTCTTAACCAAAGAAGTCAGTTATCAACTTTTAATGTTTTAACTTATACTTAATATGTTTAGTAGATTATAACGTCTAAGAATAGCATACACTATGCGTATCACAAAAATTATGATTAAGTTTTAAACACTCTCTATAATCAAAGTGCTCACGAGTGAGTGAATGAGAAAGACAGATATGGGATATATTAATCAACTGTGACACTTTGGTTTACTTAAGACTAGCATTATGAACAATACTCACCTGTGCGCACAAACTGCGGCTTTTTTACCGGGACCTTGACTCCTTACTGATACTCCAAGCCACTGGCCTTCCTTTATCTCGTCCGAATAAGGAGCAGTCAGGTGATCAGAATCCAAATCTACAGATGACATTGCAATTATTATATCTTGTTCAAATGTAAAGTAGCGGCTGTTAAGAAGCATTGATTGAATTTAGCAAATGTCATAAATAAATAGTTTTAATAAAAATTAATCACATATGTTACTTCATATGGAATAACTGATGTTTAGCACAATTTTTTTTAAAAGCTTAATTAGACACAATTTAAATACATAATTAAACTCTCTAGTTATTATGGACCATGTTATAAAAAACTCAACCCAGAATTGATTAAAAGTGAATCGTAACTCGCAAAGAAAATGCACCAAACAAAGACAGCTATGGAAGTGTTGCATTTGTTTAAAAAAGTCGTTCAAACTCAATCCCAAGATAACTAAAACGGTGATATTTAATAAAAAACGGCAAATGCAAAGCATTGCAACCAGGCTTGTGTAATGCAAGAACAGAGTATTCAGTCTAACAGCAAAATAGTCTTGCAAAATGATACATCACGTATCACGCTGCACATACATCGTGCATATCATATAACATAGCATTTTTATAAAACATGCATCCCTTACTTAAAAACAATTTGTCATATAAAGATAGTGATAATAATAACTCTTAATTAATTACTTTCCATATCGTTAACTGATAAAACCACATTGTGAATGCTTAAATTCAGGTAATAAGGTAAAGAGCTGGACTAATTCTCAGTGGTTTAATAAGTTTTTATCGATATTAAAAGTGTCAGAGTGAAATAAAACAAGGTGTGTATGCACTAAGGTGACGAAATACTCCTGCAACCTGTAATGAATCAATGTGACAATAGACGTGAAGATACGGCTCAAACATGTGGTCTCGGGTTAATGGACGTTATCGAAGACTACGTATGTTAATTGATTTATTAATATGTCAGTTATTTGGCCCAGCGTTACTTGTAGTCTTTTTGTTAGACATTTTATTATGCAAAACCAGACATAGATTGGTTTTGACTAAATTAATTTATTAGAATTTCGTAGTGCATTAATTTTACGCACATTTATTGTCCAAATGTGATAGTTAATAACTAAAGTTTAGAAATTATTTCCAGTCACCTTTACTGTCGTGTTACGAGTTAACCCGGTGTCAATTTTATAGAAGATTATTAAATGTTCGTATGATTAGACGGTTTGTACTATTTTAATAGCCTAGTTCTTTACGAAGCTCTATTTACTTACTTTTCAAAAAAGCTCGGCAATTCATTAAATCAAAATCTACCTTAAATATATTTTGGTTGAGTTTATTTTAAGCTTAAATTTTGGAGCTTAATCTACTTTCCATAACAGTTTGTAGTTACTTATTGCATTTAAAAATATTACTTATATAAATGATTGTACTCTCTAAAGTACTGTGTGTAAGCAAGTGAGTGCTATCGCAAGCAGTTAGTGCTTTTAAATTAGCCGTAATAGGATATATTTTCTTTTCGAATATTTTTTTAGGCGAATTTATTTCTGTGACAGAAAATATATCCCATATACGTTTTTAGATGTGATGTGTCGCAAAATAAAATTCAAACTAAGTTAGTGATATTCATGCGTTGCAAAGTCATGACGGTCCAGCTGGAACTTGAGCAGACAAAGTTGACGATTAGTAAATCAAAATTACAAATACAGCGATTAGTCGATTAGTCGAAGAGCAAAATGATTAAGAATAAAAGGAGGTTGAGACCACAGCTCACTTACTCGTGTCTATCTTGCCGTACTTCGCTGTTTGGGGCACCACCGACAAAAGACAACATTTTAGTTAAAATTTAAATAGATGTTTTATCGAATACATTGTTTGGGCATCGATGTGTTCCAGCGTTTCCTTCGATCTATATAAATTTAAACTGTGACAACTAGATATCTACTAGCTAGTGTCGCTATTCCGAACTACAGTCTAACATTGTATTCTATATCGTGTAATCGGCAAAGTTTTCTAATGTGTATTTTATATTTTGTGATATCTAAACACTCACTGCACACTATAAACTACAGCATTTTTAAAACCTAAAAAATTGAAAATTTTGCTAACTCTACAAAAGAGATATATATTTACATTTATTTTTATCCCACTTCATTCGTGTTGAAAAGGAAATAATGGGAGCTAATTTTGAATGCACAATGCAATGAAACAATGTTTAAAGAAGTCAATAAGTTCAATGCAGATTTTCAGTCGTGTGAAGTAGATACCTCCATAGAAAATCGTTTTACGCTTTACTCACTCCTTTTGCCATCGGTAATGATTTGAATGCAGTCATTTGGTGCAGGATTCATGGAGCATTTCCACAGCGCACCAGATCTCGTTGTATTTGGCTGAAGATTCTTTCCCAAAGGCGCACCAACCAATAACCTGTAAAAAACAGATAAAGATTTATATTTACTATCAAGACCTTATTTTGAACTACTCCTATTTAGTGTTTTACAATAAAATCGATAGTAGCGGTGCTTATATGTACATTTACTGATAATCTTTTAAAGTACGTAAAACAACATAACTTTGTCTGTATTAACTTTTTTAAACTGAATACAATATTAAATAGCTGCGCTGATAAACAACCACATGTCTTGAAGCTTGTAATAAAAACGATAGTGGCTCTAACGAAGCGAACAAACTATCATTAAATTATCCTTACATTTATGAATCAAAGAAGTGAAGTTGAAAGCCGTCATCGTCCATTGAGAATGAGCGGTAACGAGACGAATATGATTACAGTAGATTACGGTGCATTTGTGGGCATTCATTACGTCATTATCAAAGTATAATGACCACGCATGAACGAACGCGAGTAACGACTTGACGAGTGCTTAGGACTAGATGACGCTTACAAATTATTCACGAGCCTATAACACTAATGAGATGGCGTCGGGCCAGGATTAAGAGGCATTCAGTAGGATATTGATCGTCAATAATTAATAGGTACAAGAATAAAAGCAAACTTAGAAATCGAAACCAAGAGTGATTAATATAGTTAAATTTGAAAAAATTGATAGAACAAAACTATTGAAATTACATTTTCAAAACATTTATCACGATATTTCAATGTAGTGAAGTCTTCTGACTAAGACGTTACCTCTAAACAACACAATATCTACATGCAATATAGTAAACAAAGCTAATAATAACATCTAGTCTATCAAAAATAACACAGTAGACACTTAAATAGCAATAAAGAGAAAAATTACAAAAATAAAGTACATGTCACATCCAAAGCTATAAATAGAGACGAACAGGATTATACTCGTAAGTAATGATAGGTTTGATCCTTTACGTAGCTGGTCATGGCTTAATTAGAGCCGGTACATTTGCATAGTAATGTCTGTGGAACACTCATTGTTTTCCCGATAAGGCTGGTTAACATTGCAACGGTCTCTGCACTCTAATAGACCGAGACAGGTCGATGAGATTTCATCGTGGTTAATGTAGATGTTATTACGTAGTAGAATATGAATCTGTGTTTCGAATTTATATGTTTTATCTATCTATCTACATAAATAAATAAAAATCAATTGGATAAAAAAATATCTAAAAATCAATCAAATAATTTTTTATTTTTTATTTTTAGCTAATTTTTGGCTAATGTATGTTCGGGCATTAATTCAGAAAGGAAATACCTGTTTGGTTAATTGTTATTTTTTGTGTTTGTAACTGTCACGACAAGTTTTTATAAAAGAAAAATAATGTTTTTTTTTTAATGGCTTATGAAATTGCCACGTAAAAAGGGTTTCAGTGAGTGAAGGAGATGAGATTACAAGATAGGTAGATTTACGTTGAGTTATACAGTTTCTTTCTTACATTATAACTTTATAGCCTATCTATTACATTCGATAACGATATAAAGTTATTTTGTGAAATAATTCGTAAAAACTGTAAAAAAATATTTGGCATTTAACCATCCTATTTCATAAAAGGCTATGTCTATCTACTATGTTAAGTATTTACGCTAATGAAATATGAAGTAAGTTAGATAGTTAGATATAAATCTAAGTAAATAAACAAGTATACTGCCCGACTACTGGTAAAGGTTACCAGTGAGCATAAACATATATATATAATTAATGACAGCCCTATAACAGCGATCTTTTTCGATATCACTAATATCGGTGAAGAACATCACTACATAACGAATGACAAGCGGCATTCTGTAAACTGGATTACCTATCCCCGTGAATTTTTTTTTTGTGATAGAAGCAAGCAGACGAGTCACCTGATGTTAAGTGCCTATCGCTACCCATGGAAACCACAGACAACAGAAGAGTCACAAGTGCATTGTCAAGAGGCACAAGTAATTATTATTAACTAGCTATTTGAAAAGCGCTGCCTCAGTTTTGTAGTATGGTAGGCGACGGCAATCATGAGGCCTCAAGGGTTTTCAAACATTGCGTGCTATTACCAAATAAAGAAAAGGTTTTAAGTCATTGATGATTTTTAAATTTCGTTGATAATAGGTACAAACTAATCTCACATTAACAACAATATGCCTAACTAAAGGTCTTATATTTTATTTCCATAGATATTACTTTTATCTATGACATGTCAATGTTCCCATATAAAGCACACTCACAAAATTATTAACTCATATGAAAAGGACCCGATCGATCGATCATTTTGGGCCAAATCAATTTAAGGCGTGCGCCATTCCCTAGCATCTGTACTGATAGATCAGTTGTTTCGAATTTCTGACTTCCATTAATAAAGGGTAACACCATTTATCCCCCCGTTTAGACGGTACTTTGTTTTGAACTACATATTTATATATATATATATGCACGCACAGCGTCCGTGTGGTGACGGATTAAGAATTCGGAGTGTCACCACCCCTATTCATCCCGTGGGTGTCGTAAGAGGGGACTTAGGGAGCAAATTACGCAGGACAAACCCTATACCAACCCGTCTGGCCATCATGGTATAGTAGGCCAAAACCTCCTTTCTAAGGAAAGGCCTATGTCCAGCAGTGGACTATATAGGTTGTGGATGATGATGATGATGATGCACATTCAAACAAAATATAAATAACCATATAATTTTTTAAACTCGAATAATTTATATGGTTTTGGATCACTGTTGCTGATAAATCCTTGTTAAAATTCATCCTTTTTACTATCTCTCTTCACTATGATATTTTATGGTTAACTATCTATAATCTAATGTCTATGGTGCTATTGGTCGATAGAAAATAACCGATTTATATTCAATTTAACATTGGTCACGGGCCGCGGTCCCTGTGATTGTAGCTACTAGATGTGCCTACTACATGCCCTTATGCATTTAAATGAACATAAATCATTACTAACCCCGATGCATTCCCATTTAACTGTATTAAGTAGCCTACATTGAAGACATTTCAGAAATGCAAACTAAATAGATTGGAAAATAAATTTAAACTTAAAATGTTTTCTTTTGGAATTTTTAAATTAAGATAGGCGCCATATCGATACTTTTAATTTAAAGTACTTTACACATAAATTAAAAATTATATTTTGAACTGATTGTTACTATAACTTAAATTTGGATATTCACATTTTTGAGATTTATCATTAATTACTCGATATTTAACAGGTATCAATACTTATTAGTCGTTTCTATGCAATAAAGTTTAGCTAGCATAATCAGTAGTCCTATTTACAAACGAAGCTGGGTTTATCCGTGATTAGCTACGTACTATAAATAAATCTAAAAACAGTATCGCTATGCTTGCAACCTAATGTTTCTCATTACATCAATTGTGTGATCCTTCTACCTACCAAACAGAAAAACAATAAGATCTGTGTACATTTTTTCCTTTAGATTAGATTTGAAACCAATAAACCGTTAGTTTGATGTTGGGAAATGGGCAGGGTAAGGTTTCAAAGTTATCATTTTTTGAAAATTTTTTTTTGAGTGTTGACTAACTTTGGAATGCAGCTTAACATGGTCTGGATGTCTTAATAAAAACCATCTATTTAAGGCGCAGAATAACTTACTGTGTGGTTTTAGTCGGTTCGATTCCGACACACCGCCCCACTGCAAATCCTGGTGGGTGACAGCTCGAGGGGGTTTCCAAACGTTAAAAGAATACGAAAACTTAGCATTATTTTACAAAGACCTACGAAAGTGCCTCAAACTTTAAGAACAACGTAGTTTACGACTTAACACGCGAATGAATGGTGCTTTGTTGTGTCATCTTGCTTATTGTAAAACATAAACATTTTGAGTCTTATTATTGTCAGAATATCTCGACAAAATATTTAATATATATGTAATTTCTTACGTTCCTTTTTAGGTAGGTGCATTGTGACAAGCCTATGTATTAGTTTTCCTTTGAATCTGATAACTCTACACATTTGATTCGACATTGCTATACGAAACATCACATTTAGCAGAAACGTTTACAAACACTATATCTATAAGGTGTGATAGTTTATGCGTGAATTTGTGTTATACATAAGATCTCGGCCATCCCGACCTTTCAGAAGAATAATCCGTACACTTTACATCCCACACAACAGAGGTCGTTGCACTCCTGAGCAGAGAATGAAGGAAAGTCTTAACAATTAAGACCTCATTGTTTACTTCGTGTTGCGACATTGCGTACCTTATCTAAATATTCACGTAGGAGTAAAAGCTTTGTTAAAATGATAGTTTTTTACCGATTTAAAAAAGGAGATGCTCAATGTATGTTTTTTATGTTTTCGTTATTCGTTTATGGTACGATATGCTAAATATTTTTGTATGAAAGAAAAAGTTATCTATTTGAATTATTATTGGTATAAAGACTTTAGACTGGTTTTAGCGATGAACTTTTCAGTGACATTTGTATTTCGGGCTCGCGTTTTGCACAACCAACTTATTCCGGCTGTTCTCCTTTGGGTCGGCATGCGTTTACCTATACCTGTTAGTGATATAAAATGAAGTATGTATAAAGTAGCGTTCTAATAATGAGAGAGTTATTAAATGCGGGACCGGAGTTATATCTCCCTAGAATAAAGGGGATGGGAACTTGGAAGAGTTGCAGGTGTCCATAGTCCAGGCGGTAGTCACTTACCATCAGGTGACCCGTCTGCTCGTTTGCCTCCCCACAAAAAAGAACATGGTTCAAAACTTTTACAGTATACTTATTGATTTCATTGAAGCAAATGTTCCTCTACAATGTTAGTATAGATGAGTTGGTCCGATAGATTTAAGGCATGAAGGAGGTTTAATTTAAAGTTTGACGCATGGCTTTCAGGTATTGCGATTGATAGTGTGCCTGACACAGACTCTAATCTTGCACAGATACCTAAGTTATTAGTGCAATATCTAACTGCGTGGGGTTAATAATAATAAACAAATTATTTATTATTATTTAACCTAACTTAGTGTGGTTAAATAATTATAAACAATTTATTTTAATAATTGCAAAAGGTGATCGGTTAGGCCCTCATGACCAATTTAAAGCACAAAGGGCTCATTTACAGAGAAACGGTGCTCGCCCACATCATCGCGATCGATCGTGCCCTCATTGGGGTTACCGTGCGCACGCGCCTACGCTCCGAATTCATAGAAATATAATAGTTTTAATAAAATTAATAGGTAGCTATTTATTTTAAAATCCAGGGAGTGCATAGATTAATAACTACATAAGCGGTTTTGTTTCTATTGCTCTGTAAAAGTAAAAAGTAGACTTGCAACGAATAGTATATTCGGCAGTATACCGAATACCGAATATTCGGCGAGGCCCCTGACCGAATAGCCGAATATTAGGCAAAAGTATTCGGCTGGATTTTAGCGCCAAAAACTTGTACAGACGTGAATTAAATTATGTACCTGTTTTATGTACCAATGACTACTTAATAAATGATTATAAAAGAAATGAGAACCTTACCCTTCTAAATTTTGATTACCACAATAATTCAAATACATAGAATCCTCCATTTTTCCTATTCAGAAGATGATTATGTACCTGTGTTATGCACCAATGACTACTTAAATGATTATAACAGAAATGAAAATATGAATATATACGTAATCAATAGATTTTAATTTTTCATTTTACCAATTATTTCTCAATGACAAAATATATTATTTAAGTATTCGGTATTCGGCCGAATAATATGTAGATATTCGGTATTCGGCCGAATATAATAAAAGCAGCCGAATAGGCCGAATACCGAATAGTAACCGAATATTCGTTGCAAGTCTAGTAAAAAGAAAAGTTTTTACCTTAAAATTTTACATGCAATTTCAGGATTTAGAAGTTCCTACTACACTAGTTTACTAACAATATATTAATGAACAATGAATAATCTTTATTAAAAATTATTTAATTTATTTACATTATTTTATGCTACTAATAAGTATTTTATTTATTTAGAAACATGATTTAAGTAATGAATTTAGTAAAGGAACTTGTGAATAAAAAAAATTAGAATGAGTTATGATGGTTTAGGTGATACTACTATGAGTGAAAAGTTTGTACAGAACCCTAAGGGCAGAAATCACACTCGCACACCGGTTTTTTTACCTTAAACTGATTTTCTTTCAAATTTAAACCACAACTGCTATTTTGGATCAAAAATATTTCATAAAGTATCCGCTATCATATGATCTACTTTTGCTAGTAAAACAGCACTGAAAATACAAAAACACACTGTATTTTATAATTCAAATGCCGAAAAATATTTCAACAATTTTAGGATGTTTTATGTGTTATTTTTAAACAGGCAATTTAAAATATGTCCTCTCTATTACGTACAAGAAGTTCAACCTTCTAAGTAACTTTTTTTTTAACTATTGTCATATTTAGAAACTAAGTGATATTAAAATAAAGTACATTGTAAGACAATATGTGTGCAAACGGAAGTTCCTTCCATTTACCGGTGAAATGCAAACATCTGTAGTTCGGAGGCCGCTCCCAGTCTGCGGATCGTATATCGTATCCTTGGCCGCACCCATTGGAGGGCGATAAATTTCCATCAGCGTGCTATCTATCCTTGACATCGAACGATAGTGCCACCATATTGCACAACCATTTAGATACCCATTACAATAAAAATGCATTTCGTGAGCGACCATCAATCTTACATAGAGAGATTTACGATTTCTTGATTTGTAGAGAATGTTTAAATGTCAATTTCATTTGTGGGAATACATGTTAAAGGAAAGCGACTGTTTACAGTAATTACAAGATTGTCTATTTACTATATCTGGAAACTTACATTGATCTTTCGTAAACAATAATGTAGTAGGAATTTTTCTATTAAATTGTATCAGAAAGAGATAAATTTAAGAAACCCTTGAAATCAATTTGGTCAGATTTGTATGTTTTTTTTTGTTGATTTGTTGTTTGTTTATTTTGTACGTTAAAGACAACTCAGGAACGATGCCGAAGTCATATACAGGTTGTTAAGTGGGTATGCTATATAGTCGGTTTGGTGTGTTGTTCAGTTTATAGCTTTTTGGCAAAGAACTCTTAGTTTTCCCTAATTTTTTAAATAGTATTTATCTACATAGTTTTTAAACACCGAAAACTTAGATGTTCTTGACCGAATTAAAACCAACCTAACGAATTAAATAACTTTTTTTATACTTGACTTAGGTACCTATAAAAAACATTATAAATATTTGATGTCGAGATGAAAACACAAATTATAATTAGATTGACACACATCATAGAACTAAAGGAACATTCAATTATCATTAAATGTTCTCATCATTCATAATTCAATGCTTCGAAAGCTTAACCTTGAACCCGAACATTACGTGCGACTACAACCTCTTTGCTGGTTTTAGTGACTACGACTGGATTTTATCAATTGTTCAGGTCAAAGGGTGGTAGTTCATATTTTCATGTTTCAAAGTTTTATATTTTTATGCTACATTTCTAGGCATATTTAGCTGTGTTGAAAAAATATCTATACCATGTTATTAACTAGGTATACAAAGTTACCACTAAATCAGCAAAACAGAGTTACGAGTTATTTTATTTTTACTTGCTCATAATGGGCTAGCCCGAGCTAAGTGATTGATCCCACGGCCGCACAGAAAACCGGTGTTCATTCTTTACTTTTCATCGACTGAGTGAAGTTACCAGGGGCCTAACTCCCTCCCCCCTCACACTTAGTCCTCTTTAAAAGTACTTCTACCTTACATTTCCGTTAAAATATGTCAAATAAATCAATTTAATGTTAACCCGTGCTTTAAGTGAAGAGATGGCTGTCCGAGATTATCACAGTCAATGAAATGCCTACATGTGCACGAACGTGCGTATTCGGCCTTACATTCCCACACGCATCTACAATAATATATTCTATTTATGTGATCAATGGATTCGAAAGTCATTCATAACTTATTCAATAAAGACAACTTTGTTAAAGATTTTTAATTTTGAAACCTATTTATGAACAAAAAAGCTAACAAGTTTATCATTTGGTTGAAGCTCATTAGTGTTAGTATCGGGGCATTTGAAAATGTCTTTTTACATTTTTAGAGCCATGAGAAAGGTTATGGACTGTTTAACACTACAAAAGGGGATAGTAGGAACTATGGAGAACGGTTAGGTATATGTGCGCATGTAAAACGAAGTATTAAATTGTTGATACCAACAGTTATTTAAAACTCGACCTTGGAACCAGTAGCTTAATAAGTTCGAAAATGTTACCATTTGTCATGACTTACTCTAAACCCACACACTCTCCGTTTTCTTTGAGTTTTTATTCCTCACAAATCCCTTCGAATTTATTTAGTGCTATTTTCGAGCATGCCAGCGATGTTTTTTTTAATTGAAAAATTAAATTTTGACAATAAGCAATCGAATAGTATTTGACCACCCTAAATATATATATATATATTTTAAGAAACCCCTAAATTTATTACATCCTTAGCTATTGTCAAGTAATCAGTACATATTGTGGTTGCGTGAACGTGGAACGTGGTACGCACTAAAAGCCACCATGGTTGTAGGAATCATTTTAAGTGTATCAATATGCGGTTAAAGCAGTAAGAAACAGGATATGTCTTCGCATTAAAAATCCATGTCTCCGATTCGTAAAACCGGAATAAGTTCACCATTAAAAAAAATCGAACGTTCTCCATAATTATAATAATTCAGTCGCATTCTTTAAATAAATTGAGTCTCTTCGTGCAATCTACAATACCTGGAAAAAAATTACAACCGGAATTTCAATTCAAGATCTAAAAGCAAAATAAGCCCACAATACGTAGTCAAATTAATATCATGCAAAAGAATTTTATATTCGTAAGCTAATAAGACCATTATTCTTAGTTTATTCTCTTCTAGCATTTTCATTTTTATTGGGAGTTTACATGAAACATGTATGATGACAAGGTCCCAAAGCGAGCTGGTTTAAGCGGGCCTCGCTGTAGGTGGTCCGTCGTCCACCGCAAACATTGTCCCGCCCATTGTCCAAACTTTATTGTCATAAGTGCCTACATGAGGTCGCTCTTCTATCAATATAGAAGGCAGACCCTAAATAACAAACTATAATTTAGTATCTACTAAAACACACGGAAGAATAGATAGCCGATTTGGAAAAAAAAAACACAGAAGAAAATGAAACTGGGATCAACAACCCAATTGAAAACATTCA